CCATAATTCTCACATCATCACCAAAAAAAAATTAAAAAAAGAAATAAATGAAAAGAACGATACATTCATCTTTCACAGTTAGGAAATAGAGAGAAGAAGGTGGAATGATCACAAATTTAGCAATTTTCAAAAATTGTATTTTTGTTAAGAAAAAAATTATTTATTTATTAAACTTAACAAATAATGATTTTCTTTGATTAGATATGGATGAAAGTGAATAATTGATAAGTTTAATTTAACAATCAGATTAATTATGGAGAAAAATGTAAACCGTAATTAATTAAAATTGGATTTTGTAAATTGTAAATTTCTAATTTTTATTTTTTCTTTGAATATTAATTATTAATAACTAAATTATGTTTTAGAAATTTGAAAAATAATTACAATATATCAAAATATAATCTGTGAAAAGAATGATGAAAACTCATAACTTTACACTAAATATAGTTTGAAAAATTTAGCAATTTTCAAAAATTGTTAAGAAAAAAATTATTTATTTATTATAGAAACTCAACAAATAATAATTTTCTTTGATTAGATTTGGATGAAAGTGAATAATTGTTAAGTTTAATTTAACAATCAGATTAATTATGGAGAAAAATGTAAACCGTAATTAATTAAAATTGGATTTTGTAAATTGTAAATTTTTAATTTTTCTTCGAATATTAATTATTAATAACTAAATTATGTTTTAGAAATTTGAAAAATAATTACAATATATCTAAATATAATCTGTGAAAAGAATGATGAAAACTCATAACTTTACACTAAATATAGTTTGAAAAATTTAGCAATTTTCAAAAATTGTTAAGAAAAAAATTATTTATTTATTATAGAAACTCAACAAATAATAATTTTCTTTGATTAGATTTGGATGAAAGTGAATAATTGAGAAGTTTAATTTAACAATCAGATTAATTACGGAGAAAAATGTAAACCGTAATTAATTAAAATTGGATTTTGTAAATTGTAAATTTTTAATTTTTCTTTGAATATTAATTATTAATAACTAAATTATGTTTTAGAAATTTAAAAAATAATTACAATATATCAAAATATAATATGTGAAAATCTGTGAAAAGAATGATGAAAACTCATAACTTTACACTAAATATAGGTTGAAAACTTAATTTGAGTTTCAAACAAAAAAAAATATATTTCATATGAAAATAATTTATGATAAATTTTAACCTTTTTGAAAATATAAAGAATTAAGTATAAAAATGTTGCTAAATTTTTCTAAATTTACAAATTCATTCTATATATTGCAATGAGTTCAATAACGTTAGAAAACTTTATAATAGTTAATTTTGTGTAATCACGTCACGTCACGCACGTCACTATTGTAGGTTGTCATAGAAACCGATGATAATGCACTTGGTATAATACGTGGGAAATTAATGTCTCATAATTTGAACAGTGCGGATGCAGCTTTATAAAATATAAACTGTGTTGTTAATTATTTATAAAGTATACAATATATCAAAATATAATCTATGAAAAAAAAAATTAGTTTACTTTAAATGAATTTTTAATTAAATTTTAATTTAATTCAAGAATGATGAAAACTCTTAACTTCGCACTGAATGTAGTTTGAAATTTGATTTTCGTATAAATAAAATATTTATTTCATATGTTGGTAAGTTTTTCTAACTTTCCAAATTCATTCTATATATTTCAATAACGTTAGAAAACTTTATAATAGTTAATTTTGTGTAGTCATCATCAAAATAATGCTGCATCCACACGTCACTATTATTGGTTGTCATAGAAACCGATGATAGTGCACTTGGTGTAATATGTCGAAAATTAATGTCTCATAATTCGAACAGTGTGGATGCAGCTTTATAAAATATAAACTGTGTTGTTAATTATTTATAAAGTATACAATATATCAAAATATAATCTGTGAAAAAAAAATAGTTTACTTTAATTGAATTTTTAATTAAATTTTAATTTAATTGAAGAATGATGAAAACTCTTAACTTTGGTCTAAATGTAGTTTGAAATTTGATTTATATATTTCATATGTTGGTAAGTTTTTCTAACTTTCCAAATTCATTCTATATATTTCAATAACGTTAGAAAACTTTATACTTTATAATAGTTAATTTTGTGTAGTCATCATCAAAATAATGCTGCATCCACACGTCACTATTATAGGTTGTCATAGAAACCGATGATAGTGCACTTGGTCTAATACGTCGGAAATTAATGTCTCATAATTCGAACAGTGTGGATGCACCTTCATAAAATATAAACTGTGTTGTTAATTATTTATAAATCTAAACTTTCAAATTTGATTTTGGAAAATTATAATAATGACAAAATAAGTATAATTTGTAGTAGTAATAAAATACTACTTATCAAAGTCTATATCTACTCTGTCTTTCATATGAGGTTATATAATTGGTTGTCATGGAAACCAATAATAGATTCAATTACTTGTAGCAGTTGGTAAAACTTGTCAGAAATTAATATCTCACAGTGTGGATGCACCTATATAAAATATAAACTGTGTTGTTAATTATTTATAAATGTAAACTTTCAAATTTGGAACTTTGGAAAATTATAATAATGACAAAATAAGTATAATTTGTAGTAGTAATAAAATACTACTTATCAAAGTCTATATCTACTCTGTCTTTCATATGAGGTTATATAATTGGTTGTCATGGAAACCAATAATAGATTAAATTACTTGCAGCAGTTGTTAGAACTTGTCAGAAATGAATATCTCACAGTGTGGATGCACCTATATAAAATATAATTTATAAACTTTGTAGTTGTTGCTTTTGTTGTTGTTGTGTGACTCTTAAGATATTAAGTACGGATTCGAGTGATAAAGTAAATTGAATTCTGGTTAATCAAAGCGACGAAATATATAATATGCATATAATCATTTTAAAACCGAGTTTAATCGTAATCGAATCACCGTAATCAGCT